GGGGGCACCGAATCATTCCCACGCAGCCCCTTCTTCCACCTCACCGCCCGCAGCCGTTACTGAACTGCGTGGGGAAGACCTTGCAAAGCGGGGTCCCCTTCAGGGACCTTGTCTGGTCTCAGCAGAAAGCAGCCGGGTGGATTTGGGGCTCTGCTCCTGCCTCCTTGTGGGGGGCAGAGCCCTGCCCTCCTGCCCAGGCTTTTCGGAGCCCAGCACCGGGGATGGAGGGGGGCAGCCTGTGGCTGTGGGGGACTGATGGTTCTCTGCCAGATAAAGCTGAGTTAGCACCAGGAGGGCAAACGGAAAGTATGTGTTTTTTCTCCACAGCCGGCTGTCCATCACATCCCTGGCTTCGAGGTAAAGCCTTTCTCCTGTTTGCAGCTCCTAGCCCCTGCACCGCTCTTATCACCCCCTCCCCTGCCCCTGCGGAGCCGCTGGGTCCCAGCACCATCAGCTGCTCCCGCGGAGACCTGCAGTGGCCTCTGTTCGCAGCCCTGCTTCTGCAGGTGGTTTCTCCATCCTCTCTGAAGGACTTCTTCTAGGATGGAGGAACCCTCATGCAGAGATGCCAGTCTCCTTCAGCTGATGGGAAAGAGGGCTGGAGTGAGTGGGGCAGCTCGCTTTCAGCGCGTAAGGCAGGGCAAATGTGTCCCGTTCCAGATATAATCCCTCAGGTGTCAAACACACTGTTACCTTCCTGCCCGGCGATAATTTCAGCATTGCCATCGCCAAGGGCTGAGCTTCCCAACAGCTCCCGTGTGTTTCCTACCCTGCAGCCCCTCTGAGCGAAGGCATTAACTGATGCTGGGTTTTAAATGGTTTTAAGTTGCCTATACCGATTTCTTCTCAAGCTTGGGGGTGGTGGTTGCAGGAACTTGGAAAGCATCCTTTTTCTGTTCAGTTATCGGCTGCAATTATAAACCCTAGGATGGGCATATGAATGGGAATTGCTCTAATTCTGCACTCTCTTTCTCTTCTCCAGAGTGAGCTGTCCTCCAGTCTGGATGAGGTGAGTCTATGAGATCTAGTTGTCTCTTCATCTTGGAGGTCGTTAAAATTGTGCCTCCACAGGGCAGCCTTTTCTTTTCATCAGGATTTTAGTAACATGAGTGATCACCAGCAGGACAGGGTAGATGGGGTCAATGCTTAACCCAGGAAGTGTTCCCGATGCCAGGGTGTGTTGGGTAATATTTAACCTTTGTGGGTTGTGTGTGCATGAGGTCTACTGGTGTTCAACCTTTCCAAACAAAGCATGTAAAAGCCAAAATGCTGGGCTGACCTTTGGCTGGACCTCAGCTGAAATCCCAGTTGAAAAGTTTGCAACTTCTCATGGGGAATTCTCCATGAATTGGGGCATGTGCTGGACTGTTCTAGTTGCTCTGAAGGAAATAACCTCTTTGGGATCCCAAGCTGCTGCTTGTGCAGCCTGTCAGAGTTGCTACCCAAGCCTTGTGCATGCTACAGAGCCGATCACTGGCTGAACCCAGCGCTGCCAGGGCAGGCTGGTATCTTGTAAAACCCAAGGCAGGGACCTGAACAAGGCGCACGTCTATTTGAGTGTTGTTGTGGCCCTAGGAGCCAGTTAACCCCAAAGTCTGGGAGATGAGCTAGGAGGGACCTAGGGCTTGCAAAATCCTGGCCACATTTCCCCAAAAGGTTGGATTTGATAAACATGTTTTTTTCAAGCTGGGTTTCTTCCACCCAAGGAGCCTTTCTTGACAGTGTGGGGTTCATCTTTGTGTTCCTCGTGGGCCGAGATGGATGAGCTCGTGTAAAGATAACCGTCTCTCTGCTCTTTCTCCTCCGTTTCTTGCCACTGCCATTTCTGGACTGGGCACTCCACAGCTCTGCACCCCTGCCTTGTTCTACGAGGGGCTCCTCCAATGGGTACCTTTTATGCTCAAACACTTGACTCTCCTCTGTTCCTCTGCCTTTGCCCAGAAACCAAGCAAAGTCCCAACAGAGACTCTCAGAGAGACCAGCTCTTTCAGACATGGCCTGGCATGACCCACCTGCCCCACAGGAACCCCATCCAACCAACCCGCTGAGGCTGTGTCCAGAAGAATGATGCCAGCCTGAGATCTCCAGTGCCCTTAGCAGTAAATAACGAGCTTTATGGAGAACCTGGCTCATACATCCATCATTCAGGCTCATGATGTATCTGAACAAGCAGGCTGGCACCAGACTTCCTTCTACTGCATTTCTGTTTGGTGCAAATGGGAGTAACCTTCTGGGGCTAGATCCCCTCCAAGCACTGGGATTTAAGCCCCCCCTTGAAACAATGTGGCCCAGTTGTGTGGTCAACCTGGGAGACGTTTGCAGCCAGTTTTGACTGGGCTGATCTGTGCTGACTTTCACCTGTCTCTCTTCCAACCCTGTATCAAAGTCAGGGTTAGACTAGATGATCTCCAGAGCTCTCTTCCACCCTGATTCCCTCTGACTTGTCCTCATTCAAACCACCCCGGCTGTCAGCAGATCCCACAGGTCTTTTCATGGATGTCTCCTCCATCCAGCCAGCTGTGTCTCGGTTGAGAGCTGTGTCAGGGAATTGCTTGTTCCCCACCACCACTCTGAACCCTCCCTGCTCCTGCCTCATCCTCAGGACTCACTGCTCATTTCTGTCCCAACTGGTGAAACATTTAATGCTCGTGCATTCAGCCGAGACCCGGGAGAACAACTGGTTCTCCTGTGGGGAGAATGATGGGGATGTATGAACCAGGAGAGCCGTGGGGATTGAGAAGGGCTTAGAAACAGCTAGCACTGGCTGAAGATGTTGCAGTGGTAGGAGCCAAGCGTGCGCTGTTGGCTTTCAAACCTGCTGTTGACCCTGGGGAGGACGGGGGCCAGGCAGGAGGTCTTTCCCCAAGGCTTTCCCCTCTTCCCATACAGAGGATAGAAGGAGTGAAACAATCTTTGTTCCAATGGCTATAAGGAAATGCAACACATGATATTTGCATCAGTGAAGATTTAGGTGGCCTGTTAGGGGAAAAAACCCTTTTTGGGAACAGACTGTGCAGACTTCTCATAGGGGCTGTGTGGAGTCTGAGCCTGCCTTGGGGTTTGGAGATGGGTTAGGTGACTTCTGCATCTCTGTTATGTAACTTAAATGCAACTTAAGCACGTTTACAGCTAGAAATGAACCTGTCATTAAACAAGGAAAGACTGAGGCTTTTCTTGGTTCAGTCCATGCTTAGGGACCTTGATGTGCTCTAAGTGCTGTGGGTCACAAACCAAAGCTGTGAGGACCATTTGGTCTATCCCTCTACCCCAAGGCAGCATCAGCTCACATCAGTGGTGCAATGTCTCATTTAGGAGTCTGAAGTCAAGGCTCTGGGTACATAGGTGCGTTACCAGAAGTGCTGAGCACCCGAGCGATGCTGGGGATGCTCTGCACCTCTCCCTTCTCCTTAGGCACTCACCTCCCAGACAACCTTCCCTTTCTCTGCTAGCGCTAACCATTTCTGTGAGCATGTGGACCATGGGAGGTGGGACAGCCTGCCTCAGGTTTACCATCTGCCCCATGTGGGAACCCAGACATCTGTCCTGAAATGGAGTTACCAAAAGTCTTCAGCTAACAAGCAGCTTGATCCAGCAGCCACCAGCAATTACCAGTGAAAATTAAAGTCTAGCGTATCTAACACGCCACCATGAAAAATCCCTTTGTAGAGCTTTTATATACATACATATATAAACCTGAACCAATCCTGTAATTGAAATACATATACACACTGAATTTAATGCAGTAATACCCTGGCCTGAAAAGACTGCCAGTCTCCTAAATTGGTTCCAACTGCCCTTGGTTGAGGGTTGCATTTTCAGAGGTTTAGCTTTCATTCCTGCCTTTTCGGTGACTCTGAACTCAAAGGTCAAGAAGAACCCGAATGCTGGGAGGGCTCAGAGCCCATCCTCTGCCAGCAGCCGGGGAAGTCTGGCTCCCTGCTTTCCTCCTTCTGTGAAGGCAAATTTTGGGTCCCTCACCTGCCGTCCAGATTTGGTCTCACCCTGAAGGAGGTCGCCTTCCGTAGACACTGTGCGTGGACAGCTGTATCTGAGCCCTGTCCCACGGGCGGCAGCTTGGCGGCTGCCGGTTCGGGTTTCTCGCTGAGCCGTTGTCCGAACAGCAGCCCCTCCTGCAACCGGGGGCAATGCCGACCCGCCATCCCATAGTGCTGCCCCCACTAAACTGCTGCTTTTTGGGACCCTCTCACGCTGTCCAACTCAAGGAGCTGTATTTCACTAATTAATCCCCTGCTGCTGTTTCATCCCCCCTCCTCATCCCTCTGCATAACTGTCTCCTCATTGTCCTGGCGTGGGGTAGATCCTCTCCTCTCCTAAAGGAGGCTGAACCTCGGTGGAGGGCAGCTCCTTCTCAGTTCCCTGGGAAAGGCTCAGGGATCGCTCTCAGCAGTAGATGTTTGATCTTTTCCAGGGTCAGATTAAAGGGAGAGAAACAGTTTGCAAGTACATTCATCCCCCCAGCCCTCACCTCGCCCTGTCTAGGTGTCCTGGACTTCTGGTGGGGAGATGAGTTTTGCAGAGCGAGTGGGACGTCTGGGGGGACGCAGCGTGGGGAGGAGGGGTTGGTGTCCCATCGTGGCATGACCTGATGTGTCCTTCACATCTCTGCTCCCCTGCAGTCCGCAGACTCTGACCTGCCGTACCCCCCGCCCCAGCGGGAGCCCAACATTTACATGGTCCCCCAAGGAATCAAACCGGTCCTGCAGCGTACGGCCATCGAGGTGAGTGACGGGGACCACACGAGGCAGTTCGCCCCCACGCACAATAACGCCCCTAATGTGTATCCCTAATGGGGGGGATGAGGCCATGGGTTATCAGTCAAAAAACATCTTGCTGGGAAAACAAGTCTCACCAAACAGTCAAGCCCTAGGGCAGAGCACAGCCCTGGATGACACTTGCTTTTTAGAAGGATGGTCTTGCCCAAAACAGAGATGCTTCATTAATAGGTAAGCAGTTGTGGACCTGGTGTATTGGTACCTACAGAGAAATTCTTACTGTACAGCCTGGCTTCTCCCAGCACCGGCTGTCCTACATGGTCGATTCGGCTCTTCTTCATGGTGGGCCAATCTTCAGGTTTACCAGCCCTGGATGACACTTGCTTTTTAGAAGGATGGTCTTGCCCAAAACAGAGATGCTTCATTAATAGGTAAGCAGTTGTGGACCTGGTGTATTGGTACCTACAGAGAAATTCTTACTGTACAGCCTGGCTTCTCCCAGCACCGGCTGTCCTACATGGTCGATTCGGCTCTTCTTCATGGTGGGCCAATCTTCAGGTTTACCTCCATTGCTGAGAAGGTCAGTGAGAGACCTGCAGGCAGACCTCTGGTTCAGTCTTTGCTGTCTGTTTCCCTCACCCTTCAGATCCTGGCCTGGGGGCTGAGGAACCTCAAGAGCTACCAGCTGGCCAGCGTCACCTCGCCCAGCCTGCTGGTGGAGGGCGGAGAGGCCAGCTCGTGCAGTCCTGCGTCATCAAGAACGTCAAGAAGAACCCCAACTTTGATGTCTGCGTGCTCTTCATGGAAGTGGTGAGGACCTGGTCCCCACCCTGCAGTGACAGGGTCATGGGAGAGCTGGCTGGGAAGGACTTCCAGAGGTCCCATAAAAAAAGCATCCTATGGTGAAGCTAATTCTGTCCTGCTCAGCCTCAGTTCCCTTTGGGGAGGTGCAGAGCAGCTGCCCTCCCTGCCCTGCGTAGTCACATGTTCCCTCCCCTCTGCCCACAGCGTTTGCCCAAGGAGAGCCTGTACAGCCCCCCCATAGTCATCAAAATCATCGACAACAGGCCGTTCGGCAGAAGGCCCGTGGTGGGGCAGTGCACCATCCGCTCCTTGGAGGACTTCTACTGTGACCCCTACCGAGAAGAGACGGACGGTCCCCAGGAGCACTCAGGTAGGTGCTGCCACGAGGCCCATGCTGGCCGCGCACCCGTGCCCCTCTCCAGGAGGAGCTGTGGGTCGCTGTATGCGTTGCTTTTAGCTCAGCCCAGCTGTAGGTCTGATACGAAAAGCCCAGGAGTCGCCAAGGGGGAGTTTAGCTCTGGGGTTGGTTGCTGAGCTGGGCTTTCCCTTGCCCAAGCTGTTCGACCCACACAAATATGAGCTTTGGCTGGTGTGAAGGCTCTGGGCAAGGTTGAGATCACTCCTGGAGGCTGACCCCAAGGTGGCTTTGGAGTTTCTAACAGCTGGATGTCCTGGTCATGCTCGTGCTCGCTCTGATTGCAGATGATGTGAGCCTCACGCCCAGGGATGACGTCCTAATTGACATCGATGACAAAGAGCCTCTTATTCCTGTCCAGGTATGGAAAAAATCGCAGCGGTGGGAAGACACTGGTTTCTTACTTTGCATGGTATGGGGGAACACGTACAGGGCTGGGGTAGAGAGCGACGCAGATCTCCGACGTGAGGTCGTGTCTGGTTTTAACCTTCCTTTTGCAAGCTTTCACCTCTGTTTTCAGCCCCGCTCCTCCACCATGCCACAACAACCAACCACAAACTCATCCTTCTCCCCTGCGCTTAATATGAGGTGTCGGATTTGCTTTTCTGGGGGAGAGACAACAGGCTGTCTCCACGTCAGGCTCTTCCCTCCAGCATCTCTTCCTCAAATGTGTTGTTTGGTGTGAGGCTGAAAAGGGTTTGCGCCATCTCCTGAGGGCTCTGCTGTGCTGGATGCTCTCTTGGAAATGACAGTCACTGCCCCAAAGAGCCGACAGCCTTGACGGGACTTACCCCAGCACTGGAGAAGGTGAACTGGTGCTGGCAGATGGGACAGTTTGCCCAAGGCCACACTGGAAGCAAAGGTCCCCTGAGGCTCAGTCATCCTTACCACGACCACACGGCCAGGTCTCCTTTCCCCAGTTTTGCTCTTTGTTTGTAGGATGCTTTGCTGCTTCCAAACCCCCTCGTTGCTTCCAGCAGCTCCCGTTACTCTGCAGAGGGTCGCGGTGGGGACTGTGATCGCAGAACACCCCAGGGTGCTGGGAACTGGGCATGCTTTAGCAGGGTCGCTGAAGGAGGAATGTGTCGGTGCTGTTGCAGAAAGAAAACTTCTACATGCCATGAGTTCGAGGGGTCTCAGCCGTCCCTTGTAGGTGGGCCAGGCTGGGCAATCCACTGGGGTTGCTGTTCTTCCTTCCTGAAGCAGAGCTGGAAGGTGTTGGGCCACACTGGTGACACTGGCCCTGCTGGTGTTTCTCATTTCTATGGCCCCCAGGTTTCTTTGCCAGCAGATGTGTCCTCTTTGAGGCATGTCAGTGCTGACGTGTGTGCGTGATGCACAAATCTGTAGGTGACCCTGGTGGCTCATGAGCAGCTGAAAGTGTCGTCAGAGGCATTTGGTGGAGCTTTTTGTGGTCTTTTATCCCCTTTGGTGAATTTAATGTTCGCTGGCGTTTCCTTCCTCCCTGTTTAAAGGCTGTGGGTGCTGCACCATAGCTCAGGCTAGAAAAGCCTGAGCTTTCTCTAAGAGATCTGCCTCTCAGGCATGCCTCCTGTCTCGCCTTTCGCTGCCCGTGACAGCAAGGTGTATATCTGGGCCTGAATGCTTCTGCTCTTTATTCAACGCCTTGGTGGCACCTCGGTGTTTCTGTTCACAAGGACTTTACGATCCACTGATCCGTGCCATCAGATATTTGCGGTCGTGTCCCAGGATGGGCTTAGACTGGGGCCCCAGCACCAGGCTGTCCCTGGAAATTCAGAGCTGGAGCTGCACCTCTCTCCTTGCTGCATCCCTCGTGCTAGCTTGTCTGCTTTAGGTTTGTGCCATGCAAGTCCTCCCTGTGGCTGAGAAGGCGTTGTTTAAGCAGGAGTAACCAGCGATAGGATGAGAGGAAATGGCCTCAAGTTGTGCGAGGGCAGGTTTAGACTGGATATTAGGAAAGATTTCTTTACTACTGAGAGGGCGATCGGGCATTGGAACAGGCTTCCCAGGGCGGTGGTGGAGTCACCATCACTGGAAGTGTTCAAAAACCACGTAGACGTGGCACTTTGGGACATTGTTTAGTGGGCTTGGTGGTGTTGGGTTGGCGGTTGGACTTGATGATCTTAAAGATCTTTTCCAACCTTAACGATTCCCTGATTCTCTGAGTGCACATTGCTTGCTGCAATCTCTGCCCAGTTCAAGGCTTTCAGGCTTTGGGCTAAGGAAAAAATCAAGACTTTGGCCAGTGCTTGGCAAAAGCTGTGGGACTCCAGCCTTCTGCGGTCTCGACTGCAGCTGGCCCCGCTCTTGCCTACCTACCCCAAGCACCGATGAGATCCAGCTTGGTGCTCCCAGGCAAGGTCACCCCGCAGTCCTTGCAGCGAGGCATGTCAAGGCTGGCTTTTCGGGCTCTCCACCAGCCAAGAGGTGGGACGTTCATACGCTCAGCTCCCTGGGACGCTGGCATCTTGTCCCGAGATGCTTCACTATCGATTAGGAACTGGACAGTGGAGTTGGAAAACATTGGCCCAAGTGAACCAGTGTTGTTGAAAGGAAAAAGCAGCACCAGACAGAAAATACTACTGACAACCCAACTGGCTTTCCGTTCACTTGCCATTTGTGGATTTCTCTTAATAACTTACAACTGTGCTTCATCTTGTATCAGTAAAGTAACTGGAGCATGTCTGCAAAAACCACACCAAAACGAGTCTTGGAACAGGAACCTTCACTTCTGCAAATAAAAAAAAACACCAACCTTTTTCTAGCCTAGCGCAGAAAGCACTTGGGAGGAAAGTGAGGTCAGGGAATGAGATGGGTAGGAGGGTGGGGGTGTGGGTCCTGACCGCCTCTAGTCAGCGGATGGTGCTGGGCAAGCGATGTCCCTTTGCTGCACCAAGGGAGCCGGTGGCACCCAGGGCCTCCCCCCAGGCTGCGAGACCCCCTGCAGAGGCAGCTGTGGGTGGGAGGGACCCCCAGGAAAGGGTCAAGGCACCCAAGGGTGGGTTTGCTGCTCCCATGGTGGTGGGCACAGACCCAGTTCAAGGGCTGGGAGCACACATGGAAGACAGGAAGGTGCTACCTGGTGGCAGAGGCCAGGTGGAGTTTGCTTTAGCCACGGGCTCAGACCCCCAACAGAGGGTTCTTCTGGCCCCCTCCTGACCCACAGCCACAGATGGGGCAGCGATGGGTGGACTGATCTTCTGCCATTCCATCAAGCTGCAAAGACATAACTTCTTATTTTTTAATACAAAAATCTACCCAACTTTTGATTTGATTTGACTAATTTTTTTTTTTTTTGTGGGGGCATATTCTGAAATCTGCAGTTTAAACTGTCTTCCTCCCCCCTTTTTTTGTCAATTTTCAGTAAAAATGGTGTTGTGTAGCAAAATAACAACCTGCAGCACGTCCGACGTGCAATACTGCTCTTCAAGAGCGTCAGGAGGACTGTCTCCGCGCCAGCCCTCTGCTGCCTTTTTCTGACAGCAAACCCATTTGTTCAATGCCGCTGATTTTACAAAACACCTCCTTTCCTCTGGCCATCATCTGCCGGCGCCGTTTCCCACCCCTGATTTTTCTGCGCCCTTGCTGGGGTCACTCCAGACCCGCAGTCGCTGCTGCTCCTTCTCCTGTGACTTTGGTGGAGGTAACAAGAGGGAAATGCAACTCCCTCTGGGAAACCAGGGTTTTGACCCAAATTTGCTTTCTCGCGGGGAGCCAGCGCGGCTGAGGCTTGGGCTGGCTGCCGCGACGCGGGACGAGGCGGGCGCTTTCAGCCCGGTCGCTAATTACCCTTTCACTCTGCTTAATGGAAATTCCCCTGCTTTGCTTTGCCAGCGGTTTATTAACCCGGCGGCTGCTTTTTTGAGGGAGGTGAGGGGACGAAAATTTCCTCCCATAAATATCCTTTACGAGAGCCGCAGGCGAAGGCTCTGCTGGGCGCAGAGCTGGGGCTGCGGCCGCTGCGGGACCCCGGCTTGGGGCTGGTGCGGAGCCGGGGTCCTCTATGAACCGGTGCCTGGCCGAGGTTGTGCTGGATGTTCACGCTCCACGGGGCTGGTGGGACGCCCAGTTTGCACCATTGCCTCCGCCTTTGCCGTAAGGGCAGGATGGAGGGAGCACCCTGGGGTGTCCCCGAGCTGCGGGAGATGCCTCTGCCCGGCTCTGCCGCGCCCGCTGTTGCTTGCAGCGCTCTGATCAGGTTGCCATGGCTTTTTAATGAAGAGGTGTCTTTTTTACAGATTGTTCTTTTCTTTGGGCGCTTTCTAGCGGCGAAAAATCAAGAACGTTTTCATGTTAATTTTGTAGCACTTCGTTCACTTTCAGTGCTTCCCCCTGAGACCCGTTCACCGCTTCCCTGTTTTCCCCAGGTTTTGTTGCAGCTGGAGGTGAGGGCAAGGCAAGAAAGAGAAACCCAGGGCTCACACTCTTCTTACACTTGCGCTCCAAAACCGGCAGAATTTCAAATTACTTTTGGCTTCCAAGTTTTCATTGCAGTTAGTTTGGAAAAGAAAATGAGAAATCGTCCTTCAAAGCTTTTTTCCCCCCGTCTTTTGACCGGCGTTAACCGTGAACACGCTTGCTGGTGGCACGGGGTGTGCAAGCCGGAGATCGTGGGCGCGCCGTGGACACCTGCGCACTGAACAAAGCAAGATGTAGATGTCTGGGTTGCCTTTTAGCTGGCCACCGCATCTGGGGTACAGCTAGCTGCGGGCACTGGGCACGGCCCCGGAGGTGAAATTCTATCCCCGTGGCTGCCGGTGGGAGTTTTCCTATTGATTCCCCACGCTGGATCATCCCACTTACAGCGGTGTTTGAGGAACCGAAGGTGCAAACCTCCACCACTGAGGTGGTGCTTTGGTCCCGTCCACTGTCGGGGGACCTCTTGGAGATGCTGACCCAGAGGTGAAGGCGGCTTGGCAGGGCATTTCGGGGTATTTTGGGGTAATGTGGGAGGCAGAGCAGGATCGTGGTGTGCAGGGACCTCTTGCACGTGCAGCTCAGCACTGCGCTGGGTGTTGACCGTGTCCGCAGAGCAGTCGAAGGTGGCAGAAGGTCACAGGAGAGGTGGGAGGCGAAGGGCAGCCTGTGTCTCCTCTGAGCCTGTCCCGAAACCTGCTCCTCATTAGGCTAATTTGGAGCGAGGCCGGAGGCTCTGTTATTGTGTGCACGCAGTGCCCTGGCACAGCGGGGCTGTTTAAATTGCAAACAAGAATTAACCCCCTCCTCAGATGTGGTGGTGCGTCGTGGGGAAACCGCTGCTCCGTGAGCCGCACCCCGTCCCCGCGGGCGCCACGGGATCTGGCCCTGCTCCCCCATCTCCTTTCCACCTGGCACAAACAGCTCCAGGCGGGCGCGGGGCGAGGGGGAGCTGCCCCAAGG